TGCTACAATTGATACATTGTTGAATGATGTTTCTAGGGTGCTGGTGTTAGTGGTTAGGTCTTTGTTGTTGTCTTCCATTTACTTGTTCAGTCCCTAAATGTTGCCATCAGCTGGGGTAGGCCAGTCCACAGCCAGGAGCCCTGACCTCTGTGTAGGTCTTCCTCATGAATGATGGGAACTCATCATCTGCTACCTCCCAGGTGCATTAGCAGGGAGCTGAATCAGAAACGGAGCAGCCAGGACTCATCAACTCTCCTATGTAATGCAGGCATCCTGAACAGTGGCTTAATGCACTGTGCCACAAATCCCACTCCTGCCCTTCTTTTACTTAGGCTTTTTCTTCGTATGCTAATCACTTTCTAAAACTGATTAGACAGATTTCAGCAAACCATTAGTGGATTAGTATAGTTCTCTGGTGATTAATTTTGTGTTGTCAATTTAGAGTTCTTAGAATGGCAGTAAAACAAGTTACAGATATGCTGTGAAAAAAATTTTTTCCTTTTCTCTCTTTTTGTAAAATTATTTATTTGACAGATAGAGTTAAGACAGTGAGAGAGAGCAACAGAGAGAAAGGTCTTCCTTCTATTGGTTCACCCCCAAAATGGCTGCTACGGCTGGAGCTATGCTGATCCAAAGCCAGGAGCCAGGTGCTTCAAGGATTTTAGAGAATTGTGCCTTTTTTTTTTTTTTTTTTTGCGGTTTTCAAGGTTTTATTTAAACACAAATAAAATGCATACCCGAGCCGCCTACTCATTTTCTTCACTGCGCAGCCTGGCGTTGGGGTTGGTGACCCTGATGGCCAGCTGGGCCGCTCTCTCCACAATGGCCTTGTGGTTCTTGGAGGAGACATTGTGAGCAATCTCTTCACAGTAGGATTTGTTGCACATCAGCAGCATCTCCAGCTCCTTGACGTTGTGGACCAGGAACTTCCGGAAGCCGCTGGGCAGCATGTGCTTGGTCTTCTTGTTGCTACCGTAGCCAGTGCTGGGCATCAAGATCTGGCCCTTGAATCTTCTCCGCACCCTGTTGTCAATACCTCTGGGTTTCCACCAGTTAGCTTAATGTTAACATAGCTGTTCGATGGTGGCGGATGAACTTCTTGGTCTTCTTTTTGACGATCTTGGGCTCCACCAGGGGTCTGAGGGCGGCCATGGTGCCGAGGAGAAGGCAGCCACCTCCGGAGGCAGTGCCGAGGAAGAGAAGCAGAATTGTGCTTTTTTAAAAAGCATTATTTTATTTGTTTGAAAGACAGAGTTACAGAGAGTGGTACAGCCAGAGAGGTCTTCCTGCACCAATCTGAAGCCAGAGCTTCTTCCAGGTCTCCCACATGGGTGTACAGGGGCCCAAGGATTTGGATCATCTTCCTCTGCTTTCCCAGGCCATAGCAGAGAGCTAGATCAGAAGTAGAGCAGCCAGAATTCTAACCAGCACCCACATAGGATGCTGGCACTGCAGGCAGTGGCTTTTTTTTTTTTTTGGACAGGCAGAGTGGATAGTGAGAGAGAGAGACAGAGAGAAAGGTCTTCCTTTGCCGTTGGTTCACCCTCCAATGGCTGCCACGGCTGGTGCACCGCGCTGATCCAAAGGCAGGAGCCAGGTGCTTCTCCTGGTCTCCCATGGGGTGCAGGGCCCAAGCACTTGGGCCATCCTCCACAGCACTCCCGGGCCGTAGCAGAGAGCTGGCCTGGAAGAGGGGCAACCGGGACAGAATCTGGTGCCCCGACCAGGACTAGAACCCGGTGTGCCGGCGCTGCTAGGTGGAGGATTAGCCTAGTGAGCCACGGCGCCGGCCATCAGGCAGTGGCTTTTACCCACTAGGCCACGGCGCCTGCCCCTCACTTTTACTTTGAAGTAAATAAATCTTAAAAATCATTTCTGTCAGGTCAGTTTTGAAACTATAGCATTATTCTTAGTTATTAAATATTATTAGTTAAAAAGCTGTGCTGTGATATTCATTGAAATTACCTATTAGAAATTTTGCTGGCCGGCGCCGCGGCTCACTGGGCTAATCCTCCGCCTTGCGGCGCCGGCACACCAGGTTCTAGTCCCGGTTGGGGCGCTGGATTCTGTCCCGGTTGCCCCTCTTCCAGGCCAGCTCTCTGCTATGGCCAGGGAGTGCAGTGGAGGATGGCCCAAGTGCTTGGGCCCTGCACCCCATGGGAGACCAGGATAAGTACCTGGCTCCTGCCATCGGATCGGCACGGTGCGCTGGCCACAGCGTGCCGGCCGTGGCGGCCATTGGAGGGTGAACCAACGGCAAAGGAAGACCTTTCTCTCTGTCTCTCTCTCTCACTGTCCGCTCTGCCTGTCAAAAAAAAAAAGAAATTTTGCTGAGAGTGGGGCCCTGGCTGTGGCATAGTGGGTAAAGTCACTGCCGGCGATACTAGCACCCCATATAGGCACTGGTTCGCTTCCTGGCTGCCTCACTTCTGATCCAGCTCCCTGATAGTTGCCTGGGAAAGTAGGGGAAAATGGTCCAAGTGTTTAGACCCCTACCACCCATGTGGAAGACCTGGAAGAAGTTCCTGGCTCCTGGCCTTGGCCTGGCCCAGAGCTGGCTGTTGTGACCCTCTGAGGAGTGAACCATCAGGTGGAAGCTCTCTCTGACTTTCAAAATAAATAAATAAACTTTTTTTTTTAAAAGAAGTTTGGCTGGTAGGATTGACGCCGTGGTGTAATGGGTAAAACCGCTGCCTGCAGTGCATCCCATATCGGCACCTGTTCAAGACCCGGCTGCTCCACCTCTGATCTAACTTCCTGCTAATGCACCTAGGAAAGCAGCAGAAGGTGGCCCAAGTAAATGGACCCCTGCACCCATGTGGGAGACCCAGAAGAAGCTCCTGGCTTCAGAGTGGCGCAGCTCTGGCCGTTGTGGCCATCTGGGGAGTGAACCAGTTGATAGAAGACCTCTCTCCCTGTCTCTACTTCTCTCTGTAAGTCTGTCTTTCAAATAAGTAAAATAAATCTAAAAAAAAATTAGTTATTTTTACTTGAAAGAGAGAGAGAGATACCTTTCATTTGCTGATTCAATGTCTGTAACAACAGGGCGTGGGCCAGGATGAAACCAGGATCTGAAACTCTTAATGTCTCCCAGGGATGGTAGAGACCCAGAGTACTTGAGCTATCATTATCATCATTGCTCCTTGGCTCTACATTATCAGGAAGTTGGAATTGCAAGCAGAGCTGGGACAGGAACCCAGACACTCTGATATGGGATGTAGGCATCCCAAGCTGTGTCTTCACTGCCGTGTTGCAGTGCCAGGTCTCTTAGCCTTTTTGTTTTCAGAGATTTATTTATTTGAAAGAGTTAAAGAGGGAAAGAAAGAAATTCTCCATCCACTGGTTCACCTCCCAAATGGCTGCAACGCCAGGAGCCAAGAGCTTCATCCAGGTCTTGCATGTTGCCGCAGGGGCCCAAGCACTTAGTTCATCTTCTCCTGCTTTCCCAGGCCATTACCAGAGAGCGGAAGTGGAGTAGCCAGGATATCAACCAGTGCTCATATAGGAAGTCAGCTTCACTGGCAGTGTCTTTACCTGCTGTGCCATAAAGCTGTCCCCTTTCTTTTCTTTTTCTTTTTTTTTTTTTTTTATTGTTATCCCTCCCTTCCCAAAAAGAACAACACAAAAGTTGAAGAGAATTGCCTAATGAACTGTAGGAATATATATTTAAAATTTTATGGTGATAACTACTTTTCTACTGTTAAAGTTGAGTCAGGATTGTTTTTTCTTTTAAAGATTTATTTTATTTATGTTAAAGACAAGTTACAGAGAGAGAGAGAGAGAGAGAAAGAAAGAAAGAAAGGTTTTCTATCTACTGGTTCACTCACCAGAAGGCTGCAATGGCCAGAGCTGTGCCAATCTGAAGCCAGGAGCTTCTTCCAGGTCTCCCACGTGGTTGCAGGGGCCCAAGGTCTTAGGCCATCCTCCACTGCTTTTTAAGGCACATTATCAGGGAGCTGGATTGGAAATGGAGCAGCTGGGTCTCAAACTGGCACCCATCTGGGATGCAGGCTGGGACTTTAACCCACTGCGCCACAATGCTGGTCCTGAGTCAAGACATTTTGTAATGTATCATTCATACTTGGCTAAATTTATTAATGGCCATGTGTATAAAATATTCTTATGTCATCAGAAAGCCCTGACTCCTGCCACTATTGATTCAATTTTTTTAAAAAAGATTTATTTATTTATTTGAAGAAGATACAGAGAGGGGGAGAGAGAGAGAAAGGTCTTTATCTGCTGATTCACTCCGCAAATGGCCCCAACTGGGCTGGGCCAGGCTGAAGCCAGGAGCTTCTTGTGGATCTCCCATGTGAGTGTAGGGACCCAAGCACTTGGGCCATCTTCCTCTGCTTTCCCAGGCACATTAGCAGGGAGCTGAATTGGAAGTGGTGCAGCTGCATTTTGAACTGACACACCTATGGGATGCCCACACTGCAGACAGAGGCTTAATCTTCTGTGTGACAGTACCTGCATCCAATTTTTTTTTTCGTGGGAAAAAATGCAAAGCTCAAGGCATATTAGAAATAGAAGGACCCTTAACAATTTCCTAGTATGACCCTGACTTATTTTAAAATTTATTTTAAATTTCAATTATTTTTAAATTTTAATTTTATTTATTTGAAAGAATTACAGAGAGAAAGTTTCCGTCTGTTGGTTAACTCCCCAAATGATTGCAAAGGCTGGGGCTGGGCCAGGCTGAGTCCAGACTCAAACTAGTGCCCATAAAGGATGCCAGTGTTACAGGTGTCAGTTTAATCCAGTGCACACAATGCTGGCCCCTACTCCCTGGCTTTAAAGATGGGCAGTTTGAGTCTGCGTTTAGAGGTCAGTATTTTCCCTGGGATGCTGTCTTTTAGAGAGGGCAATACCTATACATACAGTGTGGACTTCATTTGTGAAGTAGTCTTAACTATCAAGACTTAACAAGATGCTGATATTTACAACAGAATATAATTGAGAATGGGCCAAGTGTGGAGCAATATTTGTGATTCTTTTAGGAAAACCTCAAATGCATTCTGGAGGGGCGATGCCTTTTCTGCCATCAGGCATCCAATCCACAAAACCTGGAGCGCAGCCTAGGAAATCATCCCAGCCAGATGTCTGTGCCTCTCAAGAAAAGACTCTCAGGACTGTGGCTCACCAAGCTGAGGAGGAAACAGAGGACGGTGGACTCTTTATTCCAATGGGTAGGCTTTCTTTTTTCATTAAAAAGGACTTCTTAGAAGTGTAAATGCAGAATGTTGCTTGTTTCCAAATACTTCCTGAGTTTACTAAATTATCAGAAATTGAATACATTTAACTGACAGCCAGATGGAGAAATAGGATACAACTACTACCTTGAAGTCTCTCTATCCTCTTTCAGTTTTTATCCATATGTGGATAAGCACTGTTTGACTTCCAGCAGCAAATATTGGTTCACCTGTTTTGTCTTTTACATTTATGGAAAAATATGTGTACTTTTTGTGATTGCTTCTTTCTCACTTAACATTATGTTTATGACGTTCATTCATACTGCTGTATGTACCTGTAGATGGTTTGTTTTCATTGCTGTATAATATTCTGTTCGAGTATTCTGTGTTCTTTTTCTTTCTTTGTTTAAGATTTATCTATTGAAAGGCAGAGTTACAGAGAGGCAGAGAGAGAGAGAGAGAGAAAGAGAGAGATTTTTCCATCTGCTGATTTACTCCCCAGGTGGCCGCAATAGCTGGAGTGGGGCCGATCTGAAGCCAGGAACCAGGAGCTTCTTCTGATCTCATGTGGGTGCAGGGGCCCAAGGACTTGGGCCATCTTCTACTGCTTTCCCAGGTCATAGCAGAGAGCTGGATGGGAAGTTGAGTAGCTGGGATTCGAACTGGCACCCACATGGGATGTGAGCCCTGCAAGTGGTGTCTTTACCCACTATGCCATAGTGCCAGCCTCTGTTTCCTTTATCCATTTACTTCTTGATGAGTATTTTGATTGTTTACAGTTACAGGTGACTCTGGATTGTGTTGCAGTGAACATTCTACTGTGTATCTTTTGGTGAGCATGTGCACTTTTTTTTTAAAAAGTTTTATTTATTCATTTGAAAGTCAGGGTTAGGCAGAAAGAGAGAGAGAGAGAGGCCTTCCATCTGCTGGTTCACTCCCAATTGGCCGCAACAGCTGGAGCTGCGCTGATCCAAAGCCAGGAGCCAGGAGCTTCTTCCAGGTCTCCCACCACGTGGGTACAGGGTCCCAAGGACTTGGGCCATCTTCTGCTGCTTTCCCAGGCCATAGCAAAGAGCTGGATTGGAAGAGGAGCAGCCGGGACTAGTACCAGCGCCCCTATGGGATGCTGGCACTTCAGGCCAGGACGTTATCCCGCTGCGCCACAGTGCCAGCCCCTGTGCACTTCTTTTTTGTTAGGTGGAAATTTTTATAGGGTTAGGCCTCTTTGAAATTTTTTCAAAAAAATTTTTTTGAAGATTTACAGAGAGAAAGAGAGAGTGAGATATGTCTTCCATCCTCTGGTTCACTTCCTAAATGGCTGCAACATCCAGGAATGAGCCAGGCTGAAGCCAAGAGCCAGGAACTCCCACTACATCTCCCACATGGGTGGCCAGGTCCCAAGTATTTGAGCCCTTATCCACTGCTTTCTAGGTACATCAGCCAGGAGCTGGATTAAAACTGAGATAAGTGGGACTTGAATTGTTGCTCTGATTTGGGATGTAGGCATTGCAACAGTAGCTTAACCTCCTGCACCACAGTGCCCATCCCTTACTTTGTAGTTCTAATGGTGGGTTTGTTTTTTTTTTTTTTTTCCTGTCTCATTCCTTCTGCATTAAGAAAGTTTTTGTATAAAGAAGAGCTGCCCTCATTTTATTTAGTTTTGTATATAAAGTATGGATTCCTGGTTATTTGTTTTATTTTATGCATTATAGTTCAATACTGTTATTACTTTTTTTTTTTTTTTTTTTTTTTTTTGACAGGCAGAGTGGACAGTGAGAGAGAGAGAGACAGAGAGAAAGGTCTTCCTTATTCCGTTGGTTCACCCCCCAATGGCCGCTGGGGCCGGCGTACCGTGCTGATCCAAAGCCAGGAGCCAGGTGCTTCTTCTGGTCTCCCATGAGGGTGCAGGGCCCAAGCACTTGGGCCATCCTCCACTGCACTCCCAGGCCACAGCAGAGAGCTGGACAGGAAGAGGAGGGACCGGGACAGAATCCGGCGCCCCGACTGGGACTGGAACCCCATGTGCCGGCGCTGCAGATGGAGGATTAACCTATTGAGCCATGGCACCGGCCTAATACTGCTATTATTTAGTATACTAAAATTGTTTCATTTTTAGCATGGGGAACTAATTCAAGTTTTTCCTTTATGGTGTCATATCATCTAGCCTAAGATTGCAGTTTCCTTATATGTCATATTTTAGCATACTACATTTTAATATATGCTTTATTTTGAGTTAATTTTTTTAAAAGTTATGGATTGGTAGAGGTTCTCCTTTTGCATAGAGATGTTCAGTTATTTCAGCATTCGTTATTGAGAATAGTCCTTTTTCCATTAAATTGCTTTTACACCTTTGTCAAATTATTACTTGTCACAAGATTACTTGAATTTCTTTGAGAGGCACAGAGAGAGAGAGTGAGAGAGAGAGCGAGCACAAAATCTTCGCTCTGCTGGTTCACTCTCCAAATGCCTGCAACAGCCAGGATAGGGCAGCCCAAAGCCAGGAGCCTAAAACTCCATTTAGGTCTCCCTCATGGGTGGCAGGGGCCTAAGCATTTGGGCCATCTTTCCCTGCTTTCCTAGACACACAAACAGGGAGCTAGATTAGAAGTGAAGCAGCTAGGACTCCAGCCGGTTCTCTTGTAAGATGTCAGCATTCCAGTGGTGGTTTAATCCACTGTGCCACAATGCTGACCCCATGTGGATATTTTTCTAGACTCTATTGCATGCCCTTGATCCATGTGTGTAACCTTTGAATGATATTACATAGTGTTGATTACTATGACAGAATAAATGTAGAAGTCAAGTAGTCTCTTTCAAGTTGTTCTTTATTTATTTTAGAAGCGTTATTTTTGTTTATTTGAAACACAGAGTTAGAGAGAGAGAGAGAGAGGAAGAGGTAGAGATACCTTCCATCCAACGGTTCACTCCCAAGATGGCTGTAACAATTGGGGCTGGCCTGGAGAGAAGCCAGGAGCCAGGAGCTTCTTCCAGGTCTGCCACATGGGTTCAGGAACCCAATCACTTGGGTCATCTCTGCTGCTTTCCCAGGCGCATAAGCAGGGAGCTGGATTGGAAGTGGAGCAGCTGGGACTCGAACCTGGCATCCATATGGGATGCTGGTGTTGAAGTAGGTAGCTTTACTTGCTGTGCCACAATGCTGGCACCTAATTTATTTTTAACCAGATTGTTGGGCTGTTTTAGGTTCTTTGTACATCCTTATAAGTTTTAAAATTGGTTTGTCATTTTCTATAAAAATGCTTGCTTTACTATTGATTAGTGATAAATCCATGGATGAATTTGAGAGAATTGTTTGATTGCTGAGTTCAATAATGATATGGAAATAGCTCTCTTCATTTATTTAGGTTTTTCTCTCAACAGTAGTTTTTAGTTTTTTTTTTTTTTTAATTTATTTATTTGAAAGGTGGAGAGACAAGGTGAGAGGAGAGACACCTATCTTCCATCTGCTGGTTCACTCTCTAAATGCCATTTTTTAAAACTTTTTTTTTTTTTTTTAAGATTTATTTATTTGCTTGAGAGGTAGAGTTACAGATGGAGAGAGGGAGAGACATAGAGAGAAGTTTTACGTTGCTGGTTCACTCCCCAAATGGCCACAATGACTAGAGCTGGGCCGATCAGAAGCCAGGAGCCAAGGAGTTTCTCCCGGGTCTCCCATTGTAGGGGCCCAAGCACTTGGTTAATCTGCTTCTGCTTTCCCAGGCCATTAGCAGGGGAGCTGAATTGGAAGTGGAACAGCTGAAACTTGAACTATGAGGATTAACCTACTGTGCCACAGTACTGGCTCCTCTAAGTGCCATTAGTAACTAATGCTGGGCCAGGCTAAAGCCAGGAGCCAGGAAATCCATCTTGATGTTCCACGTGGGTGGCAGGGACCCAGATATTTATACCATCATCCAATACCTTCCCAGGTGCATTAGCAGGAAACTGGATTAGAAGTGGAAGAGCTGTAACAATCCAGGCCCTCAGATTGGGGATGTTGGATGTCCTAAATGGCAGCTCATCCCAAGGTGCCACAACACTTGCCCCTATTTTGCAGTTTTTAGCATATAATATTTTCCTATATTTTCTTAAATTTATGAACACCTAGATTTTTCTCTTTTCAATGCTAGTATTAGTATTCTTTTTTTAATTTCTGATTGTTCGTTGCTAGTATATAGTGAATCTTGATATTTTACTTTCTATCCTGTGATCTTGCTAATTTCACATACTATCTCTGTGTGCTTTCTTGTACATACTTTAGAGATTCTTACATAGATAATTATGTTATCTGAATATAGAGTTTTTTCTTCCTTTTCTAATCCATTTATCCATCTTTGCTGCTTACCTTCCTTCCTGTTGTCCGTCCCGTGTTCATTTATCCATTTCTCTGTCATTGCATTTGTAGGCACCTTTAATGTGTGTATTTTTTTTTCCTGATCTTAGGGGAAATGCATTTAATCTTTCACCATTGAGCTGCATTTTTTATTTTTTAATTTATTTAATTTATTTTTTTTTAATTTGTTTGTTTATTTGAAAGGCAGAGTAACAGAGGGAGAGGGCTCTCATCTGCTGATTCACTACCCAAATGCTCACAACAGCCAAGGCTGGGTCAGGCCAAAGTAAGGAGTCTGGAATTGTATCTGGGTTCCCTACTTGGCAGGATCACAAGTACTTGGGCCATCACCTCTCAGGTGCATTAGTAGGAAGCTGGATCTGAAGCTCAAGAGTAGCTGGTAATTGAAGCAGGTACTGTGATATGGGTTGTGACATTTCAGGTGGAGGCTTAACCTTCTGTGCTGCAACTCCTGCCCCTTGCTGTAGATTGTTTATAGCTGTCATTTATCATATTGAGAATGAATTATTTTCTAGATGATTAAAGTGAATTGGGTTGGATTTTGTGAAAAGCTTTTTTTTTGATACATTGACGAGGGAGGAGATCAAGAGATAGATCTTCCATCTATTGGTTCCCTCAAATGGCTATAACTGCTGGGACTGGTTTA